TGTCTATAAAATCACTTGAATCGTCTTTTTATTTAAACTCAAAGTTTCAAGCGTATATTTATCCAACCTTGTCTTTGATTTATATATAAAACTATGTAAATGTGTGCTTCATTATTTCCTACCATACCCATATATATACTCTATAATCTCTATCTATATATGATAAATTATAAATTACTCAATATATATTTTAATGTTTGTGTTGGCTGCATACATCTATACGTTTTTAATATGTATCTAGTTAAACATTAGCTTACATTATATTCATTGTTCGTCTAAACAATTGTTTAACCATTTACAAAGCCTAGTGATTATTGTATCTTTTATTCAATGTTTTCTTCCTCCACTCAACTCTTAGCTGCTATAAAGGTACAAACGATCATTTTAACTTGCACCACGACACTTACTATATTGAATTTTATCTATCAAATAATTTTATGTGCCATAATATTTGTTTTCTAAAGAACAAAACAAAAAGCTTACCATTAAAATATTAATATTGAAGTCGTAATGTTTGCCTCAAAATGTAAATATAGTTATCTAAAGTAACAACTCAAAATTTATTATTATAAAATTTTATATAATTTAAAGTGAAGGGTGATTAGTGCGTACTTTGTTAAAGGAAAACCTTTTATATACTTGATATACATGGTCAAGTATAACATGACTTTTACATCAAATTTAATTATAGTAATTTAGTTGGCTAATTTAGAAATATATAATATACTATGGTTATTTATTTCTAAATTGACAGATATTTTATTTTACACTTTATAAAAAAGTAATTTAGATTAAAAAAACTAGGCTATTTATTTTTTCATAATAATAGAAGTGGGTAACTTTGTAAGAACTTAGAATAGATCTAATTAAAGTTATTCTCCATAATGATTAGGGTCGAGTACATTAATGGTAAGATACTTCTGATTATTATGAAAAAAATTTGTGCTTACATTTTTTCTAACACATTGTGAGGATGAATGTGGACGCTCCGTAGAGAGCTTCCGGTTAATAATATTAAGATATGCATTGTTATCATTTGCATTGCACCCCTATGAATCTTTAGTATGTATCTAGTTAAAACATAAGCTTAAGTTCTGGCCAATTTTGTTGCACCACTTTCTATGACATCATGAATACATATTTTAGATTTCAACTTTTAATTAGTTGATTGAAACTCTCGTGCTTATTGTATATTTTAATTATTTTTTCTTTTGTATTTTACCAAAAATCTTCGTCTAAGTCCTATACTATAGTATCAGTTATTAGAATGGCATAAACGTTTATTTTAACATACATGAATCAACTGAAGATATTGAATTTACAATATTGAAAAATTATATATGTGGTAGTATTGTCAAAATAAAAAAATATAGCGATTAACATTAAATTACCAGTATTGACATGTCATGTTTTAAAAATGCATACAATTCACTACTACATAAATGATTTCATGAGACACTACTCAATCATTAACGGAAGCGGTCACAAAATCCAACTATCTTCTAAAATACATGAGGGTTTTTAGAGATAGACGTTTTATTACGTAGGCAGTAAAAATTGCCAGCCTTCTAAAATGGATTTACAGATACGGTCACAAAATGCTGACCTCCTAAAATTGATTTACGGAGGCGGGCCACTTAAGAGATCCGCCTCCGAAAACACAGAGACCATTTTAAGAGGCGGCCCTCCTAGGAGGCCGCCTGTGTAATTGTGGCTGAGCCAACTAGCGATGAGAAAAGTCCATCTCAGCTTGGAAATCAGGTCACATATAAAAGCCAAATGAAACCCTAGCCCAGTCTCTCTCCCAAACCCGTCACCTCTCGCCCTCACATGCGCCTCTGTCGGCTCTTGCTCTCTCTTCTCTCCCTTATGCGCCTCTCCCTCACATGACGGCGGAGGGCCCAGTGGCATGGATAGCCGCGCGCCCCGCAGTGCAAGTCCGCCTCATCCTCTCTCCTCTCTCAAATCCAGGGCAAATCCGTTCCTCACCTTCCTCCCTCGTACATCCATGATGATGGTGACGCACGGGGGTTGCGGTGACCTCCTCCAGCGGTAGCTGCGTAGGGGCCGCTGTGGTGAGCTCCCCCTCGGCTGAGCTGTTGTGGGCTGAGGCGAGCCATGGCGATCGCAAATTTGGCAGCGGTTGCGCAGGCTGGGGCGAGCCACACAGCAACCGCAACGACATGGTGGGCAGCAGCTATTTGTGATGTTAGCAAATAGCTATGAAAATAAACACTCATTTTGTGTAGAAAGATGAAGAGTAGAAGAAACCAAGAGCAAAGAATAATTTTTTCCTAAATGAAATAGCAAATCAAGACGGTAAGCCTTATTGCTGTGGACGTGCAGACTACATATGAGATGAGGCTCCGATCCAATCCAGCATCCAGGGCGGAGGGCGGCACTGCGGCAGGGCACCAGGGCGTCTGTGCGTTAGGCGTCAGCCGTCAGGCGGCGTGCGTGTCCTCCGTCCTCCGGTCGAAATTAGGGTTCTGTTCGGCTAGTCTATAAGCCGCTTGTGCTGATTTATACGACTGATTTGTTGGGAGAGCCGCTTGTGCTGATTTATACGGCTGATTTGTTAGGAGAGGAAAATACTATATCATGACTGATAAGCCGATTTATAATGGCAGCAGAGCCCTTAATTATAGGAACCGGAAGCATCGTGTGCCACTGGAACATCTGGTCTTGCGTATTGCCGCGTGGGCCGCGTCACATGGGCTTTCCGTCCTCCCGTGATGGAGTGATGCGATCCAGATATGTTTTCTTTTTTGTTTTTATGAATATACCCTGTGGCTCGGCCACTTGCAGTGATGGTGCGGTGGGCAGCAGGCTAGGTGATGGGCTCGACAGCGGGCTCAGCCTAGTCGCCCGGCTCAGCAGGCTTTTTTTGTTTTTTTTATTGATTTACACAGGTGATCAATAGGACCGCCTGCGTTAACTGTAATTAACACAGACGGACAATAGGACTGCCTGTGTTAACTATGATTAACACATGCATTTGCACCGGGACGGACAGGCTGTCCGCCTAGGAAAACTGGTTTTTACCGCCTGGGATAATGTATCTAGTACTAGTGATTATATATAGTAATTACCAGCATATTACCATGGAGTATTATTATATATATGTTAATCATTAGTGTGATTAGTACGTGATTTGTTATACTATTGATAAACTATTAAAATAATATTTATCTTAATGTATGTATGTTTATATGGTCTACGTGGAGACACATAGCATTATACCCACTTTTAATTAAGAAGTACTCCCTCTTCCTAGGAAAGAATGCAATTATGAGAATCATGCCGATCAAACTGGCTTAAGTTGGACTAAGTTTATAGTAAATAATATTAGCATTCATGTCTCCAAATAAATTTATTATGAAAATATATTATATAACTAATCTAATGATATTTATTTTGTTCTCATGGGTGTTAGTATCTTTTTTATATAATTTTGGTCAAAATTTAAACTACTTGACTTATCAAAATGTAAGAATTGCATTTTTATTTGGACGGATTCGAGTAGTAAAAGTGTATAAATAATTTAGAAGCACATATATGTATATAGCATGCTCGGTTTTATGGTTATCGGCGTTCCTTGAGGAAGGTGTCGCACTGAACGGCGCCCGGGTGGTTGCAGAAGGACAGGTGAAGTCGGTGTCCAGCTTCGGTGCCTTCTTGGGCTCCGCCATCAACTTCCTCCTCCCATCGCTAGTGCGATCGACGTGGAGAGTTGATGAACACGAGGGAATGGTGCGACGAGTTGTGTTGCTAGCAGAGGCGGCATGGGCGGGTGTATATATGGAGCGAGCGGCACGGCAGATCGGACTGAACTCACGCGTGCATAGCACGTTCGAGTTCGAGTCGAACGAGAAAAACGAGTGTGATTTGCTGTTGGACTCTTCACGAGCAAAGTTACAGAGTCCCCCGGGGGCCAGGCCTAACGGCTTCCCAGAGGATGTCGTCCTCCGGGGCGTCGAGCGCACTAGACAATGCGGCGGCCGCTGTAGGCGAGGTACCGGCTGTAGGCGGCACCATGGAGGAGGATGTAGGTGTTGCTGTCGCGCAAGAGGCGGTGCATCGCCCGACGCACAGGGCGGGCACGGGGTCACCCCCAGCCCGTCCTCGTTGTCGTCGGTGTGATTGCGTGAAGCCGTGAAGGTACGCCCATGCGCATGACGTCCTATTTGGCAAGGCGAACCACGCTGGTGCTTCTGCTGCAGGGGCGAAGGTGAACGGCTGTGCGAAGTGAAGGGGAGGAAGAGGAGAGTGTGGAGCAGGCGTTCGTTGGCTCGTTGCGGTTTAGGGTTTGGGCGCCAACGCGGGGTAGGCCGTGGAATTTCAAGGCAACGCCCTGGCGAGACTGCAAAGGCGTGTTTGATAAAGTGGTCCTGCCCAGCTCGGCTAGCTGGACTGGCCTGGCCAGCTCGAGCACGGCTCCTATACTACCACGTCACGTGTTTGCTTCACTGGTCCAGATAAGCCTAGGTCAACTGAGATTGTGTTTGATTTCTGGCTCAAATGGGTATGGTTACTCTGCACTAGAAATTCGGTAGCCTTACCACCACACTGTCACCTTTCTCTCCGTGTTGACATTTCGTCGAGCACTCCACAGGCGTGACAGCACAGAACACGGGGACGCCACCGCGAGCACAGAACGCGGGGACGGCGGCAGCGACCGCGCACACAGAACGCCGTGGTGGTTGGTCGCCGCCTCCTTCGCGTCCCCGGAGGCCTTGATGCCGTAGGACGCCACGGTGGTTGCCGCCGGAGCGGGAGTTGCAGCATGGTGATGGTCGCAGGCTCGGTGAAGAGGAAGGGAACATGGCGGCAGCCGGCCAAATCTCGGCCGTGGTGATGGTCTCCGGCTCGGTTACGGAAAGGGGTGGCAACAAAGGGCTTCCCTCCGAGCTCGAGGCCATCGTCCTCCCTCACCCGACCCCGACGATGGCCGCCCTATTTCCTTGACCGCGCGCCCATGCCGACCGCGCCGCGCGGCCATGGCGCCCGCGGCCCTCCACCTTCTCCTCGCCATCCTCTGCCTCGGCTCGCGTCACGCTAGGGTGGCAGCGGCGGGGTGCGCATGTCACAGCTCCAGCTCCTTGGCCACGTGGAGGTGGTCGACGATTGCTTGTTCTGCATCGCCGCACTCGACCTCCTCCCGGGCTCCACCTCTGCGCGGTGGTAGCGCGCGGATGGGACCGAGGCGAGCCCGCGACCGCCGAGCCGCTGGAGCGCAACTTCCGGTCCGAGTCCGTCGTGTTCCGTCTCCTCCCGCGCCTCACCTGGCCGCTCGTCCCCATCCTCCTCTTTGTTACAGCTACTAGTATCGTTGCGCGCGCATTCACGCGCCCGTGGTGAAGTAATGGTAGACATGCGAGAATAAACATATGTACCAACATATCTTATATGTTATTGTTAGTACCAGTCTTAGGTTCATTGGTCCATGACCATTAGTATAAGAGGCGCGCCCGTACTGGAAAGCGTGAGGACTCTGTTGTCAAGTAGCTAAATAACGTGGTTTTGTACCTGGTATTTTTTTTTTGACTATTTGATAAATGGAATAATCTCGATATCTATATGACAAAGAATAGATGTGACTCGAAGACATAATATTTGGTGGTGGCACATTACAATGATATATAATAGATTGACATAAACACGTGTTACATCAGAGAAAACAGAACATACATAAGCTGCTCAGAGCATGGCTACATTCTTTTTCGACTTAGAACAAATTCTACATCTTGTGCACGACTACAATAACCTTTAGTTTACAGTCTTCAAAGGGCTGGAAGAGGCCTTCAGGCTATCCACAATGTCAGTCACAGATGGCCCCTGAGATCATCAAACCAAGCTTGCTCAAAGTCAATTTTGGTACGGGCAGCATAAATAAAGGCTCATTTGAGCGCCTGCTACATGTTGCAAGGTGAAAAGCTAAAGTAGAAAACTGAGAGGAAACTATGAATAAAACTACAGTGTACATCTAGTAACTATAGCACTCTATCTAAAATGTACTGCCTCATCTAGGTACCAAGCTGCCTAGGTACACACCTGAACTGGAGATTGGAATTACCAAACTTGCTTGGATCATCAGGCAGTCATTGGATTAATATCACAGTTCACTCAAATCTGACTAAATTTTGGTATAAGAATCACCAAACTTGCTTGGATCATCAGGCAGTCATTGGATTAATATCACAGCTCACTCAAATCTGACTAAATTTTGGTATAAGTAACATAGGTGAGCTCATCATTTCATCTATTTCATTTATATAGAGATAGGATTATTGTCCAAAAAAGCCACCATAGTCCAAGCATCCTGTTACAGGAAGTTCTCACTGAACTGAAGATTCTCTTGGCCATCATAAGTGCTTCAACAGGTGTGGAAGTGCATTGAGCTGGGTAACTGGACAGGACTGCTATGAGCAATATAAAATAATATCCTAGAATGGGAAAAATAGCAACATCGGTTGAATAAAATTAAGAGACGAGCTTAAAAAAGTGAAACAACATATACAAAAAAACGAGCAGATAAATGTCTTAAGCAGAACAATGAAGGAAAAATGGTATACCATTTGTTCATGTAGTACACAGGTAGCATGTATGGAAGTACTGACTGACGTCCTAAAAGAAGTGGTAATCGCAGAGGTTAACAAAGGTTTTCCCATCGCTGCCCTATTTCATTAATTTTCTCACAATCGTTGAGGCCATGAAAACCCCCTGAAGTGACTTTAGCAAAATAACTGTCTCATCCATGTCCCATATGTAACTGTGATGACATCCATTTTGCTCGTATTAAAAGACCAGACAGCTGTAATCTAAAATTACAGGCAACTACCTAAAATCACATGAATTTTATTTAGCATATAATGAAAACAAGGCCCCTCAGGATAAAAAAGAATACTATTTTTTGGCAACATATTATTGGCTGAGCATGATAGAGCTGCTAATACCTTCCTTTCCCCACTATTTGCATAGGACTGCTACATGCAGGTGCTGGTGTTTAACCACCTGCCATAACCATGGTTTCTAACAACTAAAAGCAGTCTCGCAATAAGCAAGGACCAATTTGCAGTAAATACTAAGGGACAGGTAACTACATGAATATATGTAATCTATATGATCACGATGATACTAAGATGAATGACAAAAACGAAGTACAATTAATTTTAGGAGTGCCTGGTGGAAGAGACTCCTTCCAACATAGCTCAGTTTCATATTGGATACAATTTACTTACATAGGGTGCTGTCATACTATAATTATCTTGGTGGATAACTAGCATGAAACTGAATAATGATGAATAACTATGTAGGCAACCTCCTTTCGTAAAAAATCCTTCCAACAACCAACCAATGCAAGATGAGTCCAAATTGTTTCTACATGCAATATTTTCCAACAGGCCACCCAAGTACTATAACAATGTATTTTTCTCACAAATTGCTCATAAATCAATACACTTAGCACAAAGCATGAAAAGTAATGTGGGACAAGCAAAGGTAAAATGCATAAATAATAGTAGACAAAGGAAACCTACGAAAACAACACATGCCGCAACCAACCATGAATTATATAACAGATTGAAATTAACCAAGGTGGCAAGTGGACATCGCCAACACCGAGGGCTCGCCAACACCGCTGGTCATCCCAGCTATTTCCCCGAGGGGGTCCTATGAAGCTACGACGGGCCGAGAAAGAAATGTTATTTTGTAAGAAGGCCAAGTGCTGATAGCAGTATCTGACACATTGTCCATGTCTCCATCCCTAAGAGATATACTCCTAGACTGTGGAGTGCAGAAATAATTTATTCAATGCAGCTCAAAGTAGAAGTATTATCCCAACCTTTCTTCTTTGAACGACAACAACTATTTGGCAGCTCGCTTCCCAATGCCAAGATCATGGTGATAGAATCGGCAACATTCAGCAGACACACCTATGCTACTGCTGCTGGGGAAACAGCTGCCTAAATCAGTAGAGAAGAAATGCTCATCAGACTGAACGCTTGGAATGAAAGAGATGGTAGATGCACTAAAGAGAAACTGTAGGGTCAGAAGCATATTACTGAGGGATACGTTGGCTTAGAATATAAGGAGAACTTTCTTGGTTGCCATCTAAACTTGGGAAAGCTACCATAATTCCAGTCAGGAAAAGATAGTTCCTCTCAAACTGCTGAGAACTTGAGATTGCTAAGTAGCACATACTAAATTACTGAAATCGACAACAACAGATAATAATAGAAATCTGTAAAACCTATGCAATACGGCATGTCAGGGATCTTCAAAGATAATGAGAAATTCAATAGAGAAACTGATACTGAGGGTGTCAATGTACAAATGCAATGCATTTGGAATTATAAGTTCATCAAGGAAGCGAACAGGGCAGCAATGGTGTAGTACCTTGTAAGCATTATTTTTAGCCTCGAAGAAAGCGCACCGAAAGTAGACCAGGTAGGTAACCAAGTTTGACGTTGGAGCTTAGGCAAATCTATAGAGAGGAAGGTAGCTCCACTTATCAAGATCATATCCTGCATAGCAATAGGGAAATGAGAAGTACAGTTAGGGAAAACCGACATTGAATAGCGCAGATCCAAATTAATTTGTGATCAAGCACTCTAGAAAGCTCTTTTTCATCTCTCACGCCTTTCAAATGAGAACACAGTGTGAAAGCATTAGTAAATCTGAGTAAAGAATGCACCATGTTTAGGCCAAGCCAAAAGTATGTCAAAAAGCTGATTCAGTCGAGACAGGCTGAGGCGGTTCCACGTGGAGCAGCTGACTTACCTGAAAACCAAGTTGGCTAAGCTTTTAAATGGAAACGTACTTGTACCACAAGAATGACTGGTGCTTTTTCACAAAAGCGCAGCTTGCAAAATAGTAAGTAACACCCAAAAAATATCAAGGGAACATGAAAAGATGGAAGACCGGGAGTAAACCGGACATCCAATTATTAACTGTAAATGTGTGCTCACTAAATATTTGTCAGTTGAAACAACCAATTAGCAGGTAAAGGTGGCATGAGGATATAGACATAGAGTCTTCTTCCCAGAAAAATATATATTTTTAATAGTTTTTGACATCTGATAGAGCAGAAGGAATGGAATAAGCTGTGTAGACCCACTTTAAGTTACTATAATATAGCATGGGGCATGAATTAGGAACCCCAGAGCCATCAACATGAATTTAGGAGCACAAGATGGAAGCGGCAAACAATATAGTAGTAATGATAACAAATTAATCTCCACAACATACTTTGCAATGTGCTGCTCAGCTGAGTCGCAAGAAGTTTGGGGGTTAAGATGTTTACCTGCAATGCAGAGAGGAAACCTGCATTATGCCAAGCAATGAGGTAACTGCAGTAAAGCCAAACATCTATGGAAGAGATGAATTTGGACTTAAAATAGAAGGAAACCCGAGTCTGCAAGACAGGGTCAGACTGGAATCTGCGAATTTAGCTGCGATATATGGAACTAAACCTATAATTTGGAATTAAAATAAAAGGAAACGCAAGTCCGCAATACAGGGTCAGACTGGAATCTGAGAATTTACGTGGGATATATGGAACTAAACTTACATCTGATCTGTAACGGACTGCTATAAGACTACCCAACCCAAAATTCAGAATGAGACAGACGGCTTGTTAATTTAGTTTATCTGCAAACACACTTCAAAGTAAAATATAGACGAGACAACTGCACCTAACTACAAGAATAGAGATATGTATATCAGGTAGGGTGATCACAAGATCAGGCACAAACCTTGAAACATTATGAAAAATTCAGGTTTCAATTTTTGAGATCCAATAGCTATTCAGAGCAAATTGAGCAAGGAAGACATTCCATCATGAGGGACGGTAGTATGAGGCCATCGTTGTCTGCAGTTAGCAATAATTTGGGACATCTTAGATTGGAACCCATGACTATGGAAAATCAGGAAAGGGTTAATTCAAAATTTTCAATGAAGCCTATATATCTATTGCAAAAGATGAGGAGGGCCTCAAAATCATTAACAGATGCTGCTGCTTGTATACCTTTACTTACGCATAATCTGTCGCTGCTGTAAGTAGTTATTCCTGCTCCTTCTTTGCAGCCTTTGTTTTGACCAACGCAGGCCCAAGATTTGTGCCCCATGGGGTTCCCAGCTGCTGTTACGAAATTCATCAATTACTCTCAGCAGTTTCACATCCACTTGTAATCATGCTTGTTCCAACCTGAATGGAAAAATGGCAGGTCCTTCAGAAGAGGTAGCCTAAACCAAACTATAATCTTTTGTATTAGGTTTTTATGCTTCGCGTGGTCCTTCAGTTTTTTTTAAAAAAAAATTGGTGTTATAAGAAGTGTTTGCTTATTCGTTTATCTATGTAACCATGGGTCTGTAAAACTTAAATAGATTGCATAACCAGGTGTCATAAGTTTGTACTACAGAGGTGCCATAATTCAGAACATACGTAGATCTGTGGCTATATCGCACTCCAAGTATTAAACTAAGTATGTCAGTACAAGAAGTATACTGTAGGTCCATAATTATGTAAAGGTGACCTAGTATAGAAACTAAACATAACGTTTTTTTCAACATCAGAACAAATTTAACTATTTTATAAACATGATCATCGGAACCTACATTGGAGCAACAAACTGTGAGGCAAATCTTTTTGCCTTACTGTCATGGTAACTGTATAAACAAAAGAGAGTTTTTTGTCCATCAAGAAAGACGAGGGTAACACTGGTTTTGCAGCGCAACCAGGCAAAACTTCCTAGCTTACTGTTATGGAAGCAAGAAAATCTTAAAAAGATTTAGGTTAAATAAAAAAGGAGTAGGCAACTTGGGAGCAAACTAAGAAGGATTCAGTAAGAATCTGTTGCTGAAAAGATGAAAATACAATGGATGTAAGGTACCATAGGAAGCACTAAACGATATACCTGATGTCCAGAGTGCCCAATCAGTAGCATACGCGGTTGACATTGCATTAGCCTTATGATAATGCACAAAGAAAACAGCCTGAAAACAACATCTATTTCGCATGAGACACTGAAAATTAGTTCATGTATCAGGTGATAGTAAGCATACCAGACACATGGGAGGTAAACACGAGGGAGGCAAAGTTTTTGGTGCAGCTGTGCATGTGAATGTATAGCCAAATTAAGATTTGTCTGCATTACATTTTAACCTATTCGTAAATTTAAAACCGATAGAACTCTTCTGGCCCAAACAGGTAGAAGATGGTGGGCGTTCAGCCAGAACCTGTGTGCAAATGAGTAGCAGAGTGGTCAGGCCATACCAATTGCTCTGTACGACTAAGGCAAGGATAAAAAAAATATTGGAAAATCTCTTAACTGAAACGCTAATGATTAAATTGGGTGAATGGAAATTGATTTATGGAATTACAACCTGCCCTCTAATATACCACATTAGAATACTGATAAGAATGCATGGGCAGGTGAGAGTTACGTATATTTATAGCGGTATGAAGGTTATTTGAATTTTCCCACCCTATTGAGATAATGGCAGCAGAATGACAAAGAACTATTTCTGGTGATATAAAGTAGACAAATATGAATACACCCTTCATTGGCAACAGTTTCTTGCATGTTGTAATAGTCTATGAAAGCTTCAGGTAACCAAAACCAAGTAAAAAACAAAGAGAGGTTATAACCTTGAAGCAGCAGTGGATGATCAGCATGGCAGAAGAAGAGTTCCTTTGTCCTCTTTATAGAATGCTAAACGTGTACCTCCAAATATATTTTTTTCAAGATGCAGTTATAGAATACTAAATAGAGAGGCAAACATTAAATAGCAGTAGAATGTATGAAATATGTTGGCACAAAATTCAACAGGCTAGAGCATTCAACGTTCAACAGGAAGAGTATGCAAGCAAGGTCGATTAATGTAACAGTGTTGTCTACTGAGAAATCATAGATGGAAAGGGTCTTCCATCCACACACACTTGTAAATTTGTAGTGCGAAATACTAACGAATCACAAAATGAAACCTGGAAATTAGAATATAACATTTTCACTACGGTGGTTCCATGAACTGACCTTTATGTCCTCAGGCAGCGGTGATGCACTCATCAACAGAGACATGATTTCACTACTGTAGTTTTAACCGAAACACACATGACATAGATATGCCATCTACCTGATGTTACAGCCCATGCGTGCCATATTATGTCAAGGGCCCTAACTGGCCAGACCAAGCTTCATTTTTTTTGGACAAAATACTTACTGTTAAAAATTTGACAACACAGTTACAGCAAAATCTCTACTGAAAGGCTAAGGCCATGTGTGCCAAAATCATTTTACCATAAATATTTTTTTAGTGTTTGACACCAAAACCTACCGGTCCATCAGGCATCATATTTGTGTGTGCAAATCCAAGATAAAAAGTACTGAAGTAGTTCAATCATGACTATGTGAATACTAAAATTGTAAAGGAAGTAAAAAAAAATATTTAGATCAGAGTACAGGGCCTGTTACCTTTGTACCCCAATCTCACACAGGGTTTGTTCATATATCTTAAAAATTGGAGAACTCAGACAATGATGTAGGCAATCATAAGAATCTTGTGCCGTCGCCTTGATTTCCTTGGGGCCTGTAGCAAAATACTGTAAAGGTTGGCTTAAAACTAAGCAAAAAACAGAGAACGATGTAGACAATATGTATCATAGTGAACTAACCATGATAAGTAAGTTTAGGTGTTACAGGTTGGGATCAGGATTGTTTTAGGGGCATCGATATAGGATTGAAACATCCAAACATTTTGTGCAAGCAAGCATCCACAACAGCTTAATCAAAAACCAAAAAATATCATTGTAGCTTTGTAAGGCAATCTGTTCTTGCAACCTCTGTGTAGGAGCAGGGAAAATATATAAACGAAAAATCAACCCAGCGGACTAATTATGGAACTCATAGGTAACCACAGCTATTCAACTGCAAAGCTGGCAACGTTCAGGTTATTACCTTACTGCAAAGCTGGCAAGTACGGAATGAGCATGCACATGGTAGATGATGTTTTCCTGAACGTTGGCTGGCTGCACTTCATGAAGTGGCATACCTTTCGGATCGTAATGTACATAAAAAAAACACAAACAATTAGAGTACATAAAGCTGGTGTCAATGAAATGAGCGACATGTCAAATTTTTAAAAATTGGGAGGTTCTGCACAGAAGCATATATGGGTGAATTCCGTCTATACATCTAAAGCTGAGCCCAAATCCTAAACCTAGAAGAGGTAAGAAAGCACAGTTTCTAAACATCAGGGAACTCCTCTTGGTAACCCTAGAACGAACATATCATACCTAAAATTGGCTCAAAAATCCTAACCCTACAGGAAGGGAGCCGCCGGGCTCAACCGCTGCCACGACGCTTCAAGCGGCGCCGCTCGAAGCAGCGCCATCTCCTCATGCCCGCTACCATCTCGGGAGGTAAGGGGAGAGAGGAGGATGAGATGGCGGAGGAGGCGGGCGGCAGCGCAGATGGCGGAGGAGGAGGGCGGGAGCGGCGCGCTCTCCCCACGCCGCCGCCCCTGTGGGCGTCGGGAGACGGGAAAGAGAGCGAGAGGGAGGATTTTTTTTTCGGGATGGATGGATCGGGACGGCCCGAGAAGTTTCTGGGTAAGGGAAGAGAAGGGAAGCTGAGTATATATTTAGTTTTTACAGATTCTAACGAGAAGCAAGAGCAAGTCGATTCTGGTAGAAGAGAGCAGGTAGAAGCTAAGCAGTAAAATCAGAAGCTGATCTCGGTAGAATCAGATGAAAACAACCTTAGCCGTCGGTGGCTGCGATCCAACGATGGCGAAGAATTCA